ATACTAGCTTGCTCGCATGTAAAGACCGACGAAGAGGCGGGGCTTGTCTCCCACTCTTAAAATCAATTTTACCAATATTTCTCGCTTATTTTTGCAAATACRARGATAYACCTTARAACATTTTTTATGTATTTTTCAATTCTCTACAACTTTTGTTTGAAACTTTTTTCGATTAAATGCCTAGATTCTAAGATATGGCTTTTTTATTCTTTTTCTCATTACCAGGGAATCTGATTGCAAAAAAAATAGCACAATTCGATTCAGCGTCGTCGAATTACCATTATATCAAATTTTCCCAAGTTAGCTAAATTTTCCAAGTTTTCCTTTATTGACTGGACTATTAGAACATTTTTTATGTATTTTTCAATTTTCTACAACTTTCGTTTGAAACTTTTTTTGATTAAATGTCTAGATTCTAAGATACGGTCATTTTTTACCCTTTTTCTCGTAAACGCAACATCGTATTGCAAAAAAATTAGCACCATTCGATTCAGCGACGTATCAAATTGTCGAATTACCATCGTATCAAATTGTCGAATGGGTCTACCTGAAAGGTTCTCATTTGCCTTTTATTGACTGGCCTTATTGTATCAAATTGTTGAATTGGTCTACCTGAAAGTTTCTCATTTGCCTCTTATTGACTGGCCTAATAAGCGGGTTTAGAATGAAATGTTTTATACCAGCATTTTATCAAAAAACAAATATTCTGATAACTAATTAAACACCTTTACTGCTCCGTGAATTCTTGTGTACAGGTTTTTACACGTGGGTTTATAAGACTGTGCGCACTTGTAGAAATTGAAACTTATTCTATACCGGTGTGTTATTATATAGTGCCCAATGTTAATTATCGCAGGTGAAGAATATATTATATTTAGACAGATATTCGTAGAGATATCCACAAAAAATCTGTATCTTTTGTTCTTTATCTTTTTTCTTTTTTTCTTATCTTTCGTTCTTATCTTTTTTTCGGAAGATAAGCGGGTTTAGAAGGAAATGTTTTATATCTGCATTCTATTGAAAATAAAATTTGTATTTAATATGCTCTTAGAATGATTTTTAATAAAACACAGGTATAAAACATTTCATTCTAAACCCGCTTATCTTCCGATACGATAAAGGACAAAGAATACAGATTTTCCGTTATAGGGATACACAGTCTCAACAACCCCCACCATGCTCGGTTTTGTGTATGTGTATTGGAGCGATTAGCGGTTGTTTGTTAGGTGTGGGTGGGGGGGGGGGAGTTGTGCTGGACCTGTGCTCGGGGATGTATTCTTTTCAACGTTGTTTAACACGTTTCCTGCTAGACCGTTTTTTGAAGACTTTCAAGCTTTACATTTGTATTATTTTGTTATAATAATTAAATTAGTGTAAAAATCATAATTATCAAGGAAAGGCTGTATAGTTTAACATGCATAACACAATAAACCAATAAATTTATTTTTCTAGGTATTAGTTTAACAAATACCTGGCTGAACATTATTATGCCAAGCGAGTTGCATCCTCGCATATAATTTTTTTTATAATGCCTATATCAGTTTAAAATATAATATTTTTGTTAAATTCAAGCTTGTATGCGATTACAAAGGGATGTTACGGTGAACTTTGTTAAAACATGGCAAACATAAGTGTTATAAAAAAAAAAAAAAGAAAATAAATATAGAAATCAATCCCAGCTTTAGTGAAGCAGTAAGTATTGTGTCAACGACACGCGAATAAATGACTGGTCGGAATAAGAGAAATGCAGTTAAAACAAGTTACAGTAAAGAAAAATTGTTTAACACGCCGCGTGGGGCGTATACGCCTCACGATTAAATGAGGGCATCAGCAATAGTATTAAGATGTCAGTTATTGACTGCATAATGAATTTTTAAAAAATTCTTCATTTTATAATTATAATACCAAATGGCTTGAACGGAAAGTTCAGCGTGGAGCGTATACGCCCCACGCGGCAGGGAACGTGTTAAATAGTAATTTGATATTCTATAGAA